TCCTGGGACACGATTTGGTCGAAGTCATGACTCCCACTTGGCTAACCAAGCTCCTTGGGCGGGTAGAGCTTCCAGGATCGGAAGATGCGGGCCAGGGACAGAGGGTTCAGGCATGAGGGACAGGGAGACCTGTCTTTGGAATGGATCCTAGTTGTTCAGGAGAATAAAGGCTTGGAGGACCCTTGGGCATCGCTCAGCTTTTCAGTGAAGCAATGGAGAGCCTTGGAAGTCAGAAGACCAAGAAGTTTAGCTGTAATCTGCACGGTATAAGCTGCTTTGGAAAGTCACCTGCCTGACAGTGATAGGATTTGAAGCAGGAAGGGCCATACAGCCCAGGGCTTCCTTGTGTGGGTAGGGCAGGGTCTAAAGGAGCAGCGACAAGCATAGGAGCATGAAAATCCTTTATTTACCCCTGGCCTGGGGGCCAGGGACCTCCTTCCATGTACCCCTTTTTCTCTTCTCAGTTCCCTGTCTCAAGATTCTCCTCAGCAAAGGCCTGGGTCTGGGCATTGTGGCTGGGTCTCTGCTGGGTATGTATCTTCTCTTCTCTTCCAGTTGTGGGGATGAGGGTGGAGGGCTGAGAGGCTGTGAACTGGGCAGGTCCCTTGACCAGAACCGGGGTTAACAGGCTTCCCAGGCCACTCTGTAGCTGTTGAGTTGCACTCCCACGGGATGTCGTCTCCTCATCCCTGCCCTTCTCATCCTTTCTCTTAGTAAAACTGCCCCAGGTGTTCAAAATTCTGAGAGCCAAGAGTGCCGAAGGGTTGAGCCTTCAGTCCGTGATGTTAGAACTGGTGGCGTTGACAGGCACCATGGTCTACAGCATCACCAACAACTTCCCCTTCAGGTGAGGGGGGCTGCCCTTTACCCCCCAGGCTGAATGCTGACAACTCTAGCGGGGCGTTGGGGAGAGGCAGATGCAGGGGCAGGAAGCCTTAAGATTTCCTCCTGGAAATCTGGCCATTGTTTGTGGCCGTGATGAGAGGGAGGTGAGCCTCCCAAGAATGCCCGGGATCTGGACTGAGTCAGTCGGGTGGGGGCTGTTTGGAAACCAGTAGGGCTGTGGAGGACAGGGAGCGATCAGAAGTGTGTCCCCAGATGGACGGGCCATGGAGGCTCTCCCTGCCTCTTTCCAGGCCCGCCTTTCTTCTTCCCAACTCTTGACTCCGCAGCTCTTGGGGTGAAGCCCTGTTCCTGATGCTCCAGACAGCCACCATCTGCTTCCTGGTCCTGCACTACAGAGGACAGACTGCGAAAGGTGCTGGGGATTTACCCAAGAGCAGAGTGTGGCTCTTGGGGGCCCTGCCGGGAACTCGCGCTTGGGGAAGGAAGCCGGAGCACTGGAGAGGTTGATTGGGACTCCTTATCTCCCCGACCCCCAGGTGTCACTTTCCTAGTGTGCTATGCACTGGTCCTGCTGGTCCTGCTGTCACCACTGACGCCCCTGTCCGTGGTCACCCTGCTCCAGGCCTCCAACGTGCCTGCTGTAGTAGGGGGGAGGGTGAGTACCGGGAGCAAGAGAAGGATATTGCATGGGGTGAGCATAGTAAGAGTTCAGATGACAGAACCGAGTCCCAATTTCCCCCCTAGCTGCTCCAGGCAGCCACTAACTACCGGAACGGGCACACAGGCCAGCTCTCCGCTGTCACGGTCTTTCTGCTCTTTGGGGGCTCCTTGGCCAGAATCTTCACCTCCGTTCAGGTGAGTGCACCTTCTGCCCTCTAGAGGGCACTAAAACCTGGTCTCCTGGCTCTCCAGGGAGGACTGCTTAAGTGACCCCGGCTGTCTCTCTCACCTAGGAGACCGGAGACCCCCTCATGGCTGGAACCTTCGTGGTCTCTTCCCTCTGCAACGGCCTCATTGCTTCCCAGCTCATCTATTACTGGAACGTCAAGGCCCCCATCAAGAAGAAAAAGCAGTAGGGATGAGCCGGCTACTGGAGTCCGCTCCACGTTTCCATCCACCCACCAACCCTCAGGGTCGTTCTCATCCGAACCAGTCCGCTGGTGTGACTTTTAATCATTCATTCCACTGCAATTGTAAAATTCTGAGCCAGTTTTAGTGGAACTGCAGATCCTTAGAAGGGGTAGGGATTTCCAGGCTGATGTTTGGCAGTTCCTGCCCGCTGTCCCGTGCATGTACTACCGGTTCATTTATTTTGGCTGAGATTCCTCCTACTTAGGTATTCTGGGGCCAAAGTCGGCCCTGTCCTCCTCATCTCCCTACTTCCCTGATGGCCTAGAGGACAGAGTCTGGCCAGTGGAAGGAACTAGGGGTTTGCGGCCGCCTCCCTCCCTGAACCTGGTTGGGACGGTCTCCAGGACCCCAGTGCTGGGTAGGGGGTGGGGAAGGGGGACGAGAATGACTCAGGCAGGGCCCCAGGGTGGGGTGAGGAGGTTCCTGCTCTGGCAGGTCCAGGCGGAAGGGAGTGGAGGCTGCTGGTTCCTGCTGCAGTGAAGGGGAACAGAAATGGGGCAATAAAGACTCAGAGACCTGGTTTAATCATAAAAACTGTGTTCGTCCTAAAAAAAATCATGTGTTGTATTTTGGGGGCAGGGTGAGGGAACCGCAGCACAGGCTTCTGAACTGTGGGCCAACAGGGTTCTAAAGAAGGGTTTGCAGCCTGGGGTGGGAGGTTCTGGGTGAAAAAGGAGAGTGAAGCCGTTCCTGGGAGGTCCATGTTCATGAGAGTTAGAGGTGGGTCAGGGGCATGGGGGTCCCTGACAGGGGAGGGTTGTACGCAGTGGGGGAGCCTGGGGGTAGGTAGGGGCTGTAGTGGGGGAGCAGCTCACCCTGGAGCCTCGGGTTACTCTGAGGGAGGGAGCACGGCGACGAGGCCTCTGGTTTGCAGTGGGAAGAGCTGCAAAGAGAGAGACACTGGGGTTAGAGAGCGCATTCCTGGGTTGGGAGGGGCCGGCAGGGCCCCCCAACTCACAATTGGGGGCGGGGCGCCTCGCTCTAGCCAACGGAGGCAGAACCTGTCACCCACGTACCCCTCTCCCTGGCTCTCCGGGCCCCACCGGGTACCGCGGGTTCAGAACCAGGGCCCAGCATGGCTTAAGAGCAGTGCAGCGGCCGTGTCGGGGCACGCTCCGGAGCCGGCTTGCGTGCTGCGCCTGTTTTCCTCTTTCGGGGCAGCAGGCCAGGAAGGGGCAGAGTTGGGCCTGGCCTCTCCTTGCCCCGCGGGCTGGGAGCGGAAGCCGGGTCACGGGAGGGCCAGAAGCCGGGAGGAAACGGGAAATTCAGGTAACTAGAACGTGATCACGTCCGGGGGAGGGGGGGATGTCCTGCGGGGCTGCCCCTATCGGGCCAGGATGGAAACATCTTTCAGGGAAACCTGGGCCACCAAAGCGCTCCCGGCCCAGGCTTCACGGGGCACTGGGGGTGGGGTGGGTGGGTGTGCCCCCGGTCTCTCCTGGGAGCGACCTCTGCACGGGGCGTACTCGGGGCCCCTGCCCGTCCCTCACCGCGCGTCCCAGGCACTCACCCGTAACCGGCAGGCAGGTAAGCTGTCGAGTAGTTGGGCGGCTGGTACCCAAAGCCTCTGCTCCCCTGCGTGGTCGCGTACCCGGGACCCCAGACCGGCCCGCCGCCAGCCACGCCGCCGCCTCCCTGGCCAAAGTGGGGCGGCCCGGCGGCCGCGCTCTTGGTCTTGCGCCGAGGCCGGTACTTGTAGTCGGGGTAGTCGCGCAGGTGCCGCGCCCGGAGCCGCTTGGCCTCTTCCACGAAGGGCCGCTTCTCGTCCTCGCCCAGCAGCTTCCACTGCGCGCCCAGGCGCTTGGAGATCTCCGAGTTGTGCATCTTTGGGTTCTGCTGCGCCATCTGGCGGCGCTGCGCGGAGCTCCACACCATGAACGCGTTCATGGGTCGCTTCACCTTCTCCAAGGGAAGCCCCCCGGACACCACCGGACTGCCGGCGCCTTCCCGCTCCTGGCAGCCCGAGGACGAGTTGGTAGGAGCAGCGGGAGCGGGCGGCTCCAAGCCCCAGGCCCGGTCGTGTGAAGAGCCCGGAAGCGCCATGGGGGCCGGTGGGGTGCAGGGAAGGCTTTAGAGGGCGTCCTACACGCCCTCCCCTCCAAAGTGAAACGCTGATGCCCAGGACCGGTGTCCGGATGATGGAAGGGTCTCCCTAGTCTGGAGTCGTCCCAGAGAAACTCACGGCCTTAAGAAGTATACGTCGTCCCCAAGTTCAGAGTCTTTAGAATGGAGCGCCTGCTCCCAACCAATCAGGCACCCTCTGGAGAGCCAGGCGCTAAATCCGCTGCCCCGTACCCCGCAGGGGAGGGGATGCCCTCTCCGACCCTTGAAGCCGCGGGGTCCCGGACCCAGCCCGCTGCCCCGCGGTCGCGCTCCCGGTCCCTGGAGTCCCGCGGCCGGATCGCCGCAGCCCCTCTCACCTGGCCTCAGCGTCTGTGGCTGGCGGGTGGGCCAGGCCGGGAACAGCTTTTAACCAGACTCCTCCCCACTCCCTCCCAGCAGACCGCGCCTCCTTAAGGGCGCCAACGTTCCCCCTCCCTTAGGCAAACCCAGGTGTCCCGGGCCTCCCAGCCCCCAACGCTCCCCCTGGGGCACCACGCCCCCTCCCCACCCAAGACCCAGATGTGGAGCCTTCCGCCCCTGGTAGCTCTGATCCGCTTCCCCTCCCTTCTTGAGCTTTGGCAATTTAAAGTCAATTTTTTGGCACAATGGGATCAAGCACAGGAGAATCAAAAGCCCTCAGGGTCACAATTGAGCCTGGAGGAAGCTGGGAACACCCCACCCCCTACCCCAAACCCTTTTCTAGTGCCTACTGCTCCTCCAAACCCCTGACCTGGCCCTGGGGCAAGAAAGGCAGTCGGGAGGCAGGCCATTTTTGTTTCCTGAGTCATCCCAGCAGGTGCTCAAGTGATGATTCAGCCCCTTTCTCCAGGTGAGAAAACTTCAATCCTCCCAACTCCAGCCCCCAAACCGTGGTTTCTCCACTGCCTGTTGTATCTCCAAGCCGGAGTCTGAAGGCAGGGAGCCAGGGACCCCAAGACAACCCACCCCCAGGACTGAGCAGTCAGCAGCGTGGATGCCAGAGAAAAAGCCTGCATCCAGAGCAGAGAACCAGCAGGAGCGAGAGAGCTGGCCACCTAAGTCGCAGAGGCTGTCGTGAGGGAACCCTGCTCCCCATCCCGCCCCAGGCCCAGCCCAAGCCCCAGGCCTCAGGTAATCGGATTAAACAGCCGGCCTTGGCTCTCAGCAGAAACGGGCTGGAGCCCGAGCGCAGAGCAGCCCTACCTAGCCTGCTGTGACTCAGGGTAAAGGAGTGGCCCAGCTCTCCTACCAGCAACCCTGGGGGAGGGGAGCAGCCAGAAGCCACAGGCCACGGTCCTCCGGACTTGAAGGCGACCAGGGCCTGGAGAACCTAGGAATGTCAGGAATTCCCAGAAGTAGACAATCTTTGGAACCCTAGAGAAGCCAGGTGTGGAGAAAACGGAAATGAGGGCCCGGGCAAGTCAAGCCTAGAGAAACCGATGTGCCAAACTTGGCACAAGGAAGGCGCGAGAACCACAGAGCCATTTGGATTTTTTTATTCTCTTTTTAAATACTGTACAGTGAAAAATAAATACGCCTTCTCATCCACCAGACAAGGTTGGTCCCCCCTCCCCTGGGGGACCTTGTCACCCCCCTTCATACACACCCCTGGTTCTACTCCAAAACCTTCCCCATGCCTCCCACCCACTTATACCCTTACTATCCCCGTCTTCCACAGTGATGAGGCCCCAGAAATGGGGGGTACAGGATGGGAGGAGGGATAGCAGGGGAGCCCCCCTGAACTGTCAAATCTGGGTGGATCAAGGAGCACCCCGCACCAGCAGGCGGAGAATGGGGGTGTTCAGAGAGATCGGGGCATTGGAGGATAAAGGCACATCCAGTCTGATGGGGAAGGAGAGAGGCTCCCCTCACCCTGGGGGTAAGGGTGGACAAGAGGGAGGGGGGTATGACCCTGTTACACACCCCTCCACGAGCTCCTGGAGGTTGAGGGGGGACCCAAGCTGCTGTGCCACCCCCCTCCCCCCTAGATAAGAGCAGCTCCAGCGCAGGTCAGTCGGGCCTGTGAGGCCATGGTGTTGGGCAGCAAGCGAGATGGAGAAGGGAGGGATGCGGGCTGGAGGTTTTATGAAACCCCATTCACCAAACTACCCAACTCCAGGGGGGCGGAGAGCTCCCCGTTCTCTGAGGGGCCCTTAGAAAGCTTGCTGACAGAGTCGCCCTGGGGAGGAAGTGGGAAAGGAGGGAGGATGGTCAGTAGAAATTCAGGTAAGACATCCCTCACCATCCTAGTGCTGTGGCATCTGGCGCCCCAACGGCTAGTCCCCTGAGTGGAGGCTCTAATAACTCTTACAAGAGTCCAGAAGCACCTTAACAAACCTCCCTCTGTCCTGCTCAAACTTTCCACTATTCTAGACGGCGGTCTAGACTCCGGACATCGCTTCCTCTGCGATTTAGCAAGAGGTTCCTTTGCGAATTCCTTGTGCCCGCCCAGCAGAGAAAAGGAGGTGGGCTGAATGACGTCTTGCCCGCCTACCTTCTGTCCTGAAAGAGAGTCCTCGGAGGGTTTAGTGCGTTCCAGGGGCGGCCGCTGGCGGCTCTGAGACTCTGCTCGGGAGATGTAGTCAGCCACAGTCACTGGGAAAGGCAGAGGACCAAGAGTTTCAGAAGGAACCAGGTGTCCAGCTCCCGGACACCCACCAGACCCCAACCCCCCGTTTTCATACGGTGGGAGGCAGCCCGTTCTCTCAGCTCCGAGGAAGGACACCGGCACCCAGTGTGAGCTGACCTGGCTGCCGGTCTCCACTGATGGAGCCATCGGTCCTGTTCCCACGGTTACGGCGACGGCGGCTCCGGTTCCGACGCTGGGGTCTTGACTCGTCTTCTGTGGGACAGAGAAAAACCAAGCCGTGCACCTCATCTCCCACACCTCCCTTCCTGCCCAGCTCGAACTCTTTGAGACCCCAGGCAGAGCCCTTACCCAGGCCATTCTCCGTCATGCTGGGCCCGTCCGATTCCAGGCCTCCGTCCATGACAGTCCTGTCGTCGTCTGTGCGGCGGCGGCGGGAGCGGCGGCGCCTGGCGCTTGCTGGGGGGGGTTCCCCGGGCTCTGAATCAACCGGGGGCTCTGGTTCAGACGTGTCCAGTAGGCTGTAGGGGTTACTGTCTGGATCTTTCAGCACTGGTTACAGGAAGAGGAGGACCTGGTCATCACGTGTCCATCATTTTCCCTTTCGGCCTACGCTCTCGAACCCAGATGTCTGATACTGGTACCTGAGCTAATAGACGAAGCGTTGTATCTTGTGGTGGGCCGGGGGGCAGGTGGGGGCCCCCTACCCCGGCCCCCAATCGGCCGCCTCCGGCTTTCTTCCCCCCGGGTTGGGGGGTCCCGGTCACCAGGCCCAGCTCTGTTGGGCTCCTCCCTCTTCTCGGACTCCGTCTCAGAAGCTGTGGATGGGTCTGAGCTGGGGCCTGAAGGACACAGCGGGCTTCAGTCAGGGTCACTCACCCCACCCCTCCCACTCACAAGTCCCCCCGCCAACCACATCTTCAATGTGTCCATCGCCCTTCCCTGGAGATTCCGCCCAGACCCCTGCTTCTCCAAGGCCCACCGCTGTTCACCTCCCGCAGCCGTCTTACCGTAGGCGGGACCGCCTGTCCTCCGGCCGCGGCCCCGGCCCCCATAGCTGCCCCCGTAGGTTCGGGTGGTGTGGAGGGAAGAGGAGGAGCTCTCATCCGTGGTATAGCCAGCCTTGTCACTGCCGCCGCTGCCGCGCCCGCTCCCGGGAGGGCGGAAGCCCAGCCCTATCTGGCGAAGCTGTTCGTCAATCTGCAGCCTCTCCAAGCGAAGCTGCTCCACCTCCTGGTTGGGTGGGAGATGGAGAAAGATACCGAAGGGGGAACAGACGTGAGCTCGACGACCAATCCTCACTCAGGCTTCTGTGCCCTGACCGTCCCCATACACCTAAACTCTCGGGAATGCAAGACGGAAGACACTGGCTAAGCAAGGAAGATTCTGCGGTCCAACCCTACAGCCCCAGATCTCCATTCAGTGTTTTCTGTTCTACTCAAGATACAAACTGGGCGTCACAACTGCTAACTTTATCCACCAGTAGCCTTCGTCTCCTTCCTACACCCAGATCTTTCCCATCCCAGGCTTCCGGCTCGGGTACCTGAAGGTAGGAGAGATGATATTCCAGCAGAGCCTGGGCATTACTGATATTCTCCCGGGTGCCAACAAATATGAAGGGAACCATGCCCTGCGCGGCAGAGAGGACGGGAGGGTTAGGAGGGTCGATGCGAGTAGTAAGTCCACCCTGGCCCCTCCGGAAGCTCAGCCAGTGGGACCACTCTGGGCTCTGCATCTTCTGGAGGACACAAGTCCCCATCCTCCATCCCTAGAGATCCGGGCCCACGGAGAAGGGGCTCTGCGAACAACCCCACCTACTCCTGGAAACCAATCTCCAGATGCAGACGCCCCGTACCTCCTCCCTGGGGTTCTTCTTGTCATTGTCACCTTCTACGCGAACCCTCACCACACCAGATTTATCCACAATCTCCTGGATCACTTTCCCGTTCTTCCCAATCACTTTGCCTGAATGGGTAAAGGAGGAATTAGGCCTTTTTTTTTTTTTTTAACAGAAAAGAAAAAAAGTAAAAACAGATCAACAGTTTTCCAGTTTCTATATATGGATTCAGTCTCTGGTGAGTTTTCACAGGACAAAAGTTTACGATCCCTGGAAATCTGTTCTTCCATTTCCCTCAATCCTACAAGACTGCTGGCTCTGTCCTTGTGAAACTGGGAGTCCGCAGGGAGGCGCCAAGCCTAGAACCCCTTTAGGGAATCTCACACCGAGCCCCACCTGTATTCTTTTATCTGCACACACCCTCAACTCACCAACAAGGTTCCTGGGCACTTGCACGGAGTCCTCAGAAAACTCCAGGTAGCTTCGGGCCTGTCGGCACGCCTCAGGAGTCTACAGAGAACAGCGGGGAGCAGTTACTCACACAGGGGCCCTGGATCTCAATCGTCTTCCTGCCACCCTCTGCCTTTGGGAAAGCATGCTGCCACCAAGTCAGAGAAGGAGGTGGACAGGACTCAGGCTTCCTTGCCACCTCACCCTTTCTTCTCTCTACCCCCAAGCCACCTAAGCAACAGCTGGCTTTTGCTGACCTCCCCATAGATGCGGAAAGTGCAGGTCTCTTCACCCAACTCAATGGCGGTCACCCCAGGTACTTTTCGGGCCTGCTGGATGTTGGCACCATGAGTCCCAATCGCCAGTCCCATCAGGTCCTCTCGCACCGTGAACTCCTCCTGGAAGGCTGCCGCCAGCTGCTTACTTGTCTGAAAGGAAAAGGCGCTGCCGGATCCCTGGTGGTGGAACCCCACACACCCGTCCCAGGCACCTGACGCTCGGCATGACTTCGATGAGAGAAAAATGTATGGTAACAAGTCAGAACTACCCCAGATCCACTGACCCCAGGACCTGCACAGAGAATTCGGGAATCTTTCATTCCACTCCTACCTTGCAGACGCCAATGGCCTGGCGGGGAGAGGAGGTAAATGAGGGCAGAGTTTGGCTGGCAGCCGCCAAAGTTCTGGATTTGGCTCTAACATGATCTGGCTATGTGATCCTAAACAAAACACGCTCTCTGCGTCTCTATTCTGTCATCTGCTAAACGATTACACCTGACTTACCCCATTCCCAGACTAGCAAGAGGATTAAATAAAGTCAGTGAGAAAGGACCTTTCACAAGGTAAATGCAAGGCTAAGGAACTACTGTTACCTTTTTTTTTTTTAATTTTTTTTTTTTCAACGTTTATTTATTT